TCTACTGATGGATATACCGTGATCGGAACAGGGCCCCTACCTACTCATAACATATATACATATATACACAAGATGTACATAAAACTCTAGACCCGGCAACTCCGAAGGGCATAGAGCTTACCGATCAAGCTGAACTCGGGTAACACCTAATGGGGAGGTCTACCCGTCTGTCTGTCTAAACCTGCACGCATGAAATGCAGCGCCCCCAGAAAAGGGACGTCAGTATGAAATAATGTACCGAGTATGTAAGGCAATATACTGAAAGCTGAAACTGAACTGATAATATAATAACTGAAAGTAACTGGAAGTCAAAGATAATCTGAAGATATGCTTACCTGCTGATACTGATTCAACTCTCTCAATATAATAAGTAAAATAGTTGTTCGGCCCTATAAGACTCAGTTTATATATATAACTGCTCTGCCGTAGTAGGTTCGCTCATAGGTGCTCGGCCATACTGGGCTCTGTATCTCGGCCAACTGGGCTCGCTCATAGGCGCTCGGCCACAGTAGGCTCGATATATAACTTACCATCTGATCAGAGGTTGCCCAATAGGGGCCTGCCCATCGATTATAGCTCGATGGTAATGAAAATACTGTAATACTGTATATATAGATTCTTTGCTCTCATGACTGGAAAAAAGAAAACACTCAATTGGATATGAAGTCCCGATAAGGAGAATACTATAACTTACAAGACTAGGAAAATATACGTAAATTCCGGAATATGAATTTTTCTTTATGCCTCGTTATCAAACTCGTGTAATTTCGAGATCATGCCAAAATGAAGAAAAAGCTTAGCCTTAACATACCTGGAGTAGGGAAAAATTCGTATGATATTCTTGAAAAAGGTTGCACCGTACTCGTTTAGAATCGCAAAATCTCACGTTGCTAAAGTGCTAAGAAATCTCGTTGGAATTGTTTTTGTGTTTCAATAATTCTTGTTGAGATCTTTTTGGGTTGAAGCTACGTCTATTTTGAAATTACTTACTATATATAAGTGAGAGTTGGAATGGAAGAACACATAGGAACACCTGTACTGCACTGTTCCGTAACACTGTGTACTGTTTTCCTCTTGGTAAAACACGCGTACTGTATTTTACCATCTAAAAATGCATATTGAACCCCTTTCCCTCTCTCACCGGCGATTTTACTAAGGTGCTGTGCATGGATTTCAGTAGTTTTAAATCATATTCTTTGTAGTCTTTTGCCTATATTTTATTCCTCCTGTTGCGATACAACTTAGTGAGTAAGTAAGAGTTTGATTTTCTTTGTCGTGGAGATTACTGATTGAAGCTAACGTCCCATTTGAAATGTTTGTAATAGGGAGAAGATTATAAGATTGCCTTTGATTATTTTAAGGCCAAATAAAGCAAAATGTAAATTTTCTAAGTAGGTGATTACACGTAATAGTCACTTGTGTTAATCATCTTAGCTTGCCACCTTTCAATTTGACTTATGAGTCATTTAGGTTGAAGGGTGGGCTGCCACATAGTCAAATTTTAATCCTTATCCTATAATTCTTTAATTAATTAGGTAATATCTCACTACCCAATAATTAATCAATTTCCCATATTATTAAAAATTATCTCAACTTACTTAAAATACTACTCAATTTTAACACATCTTATACACCTTACTATCATGGTCACGTGGTACCTTGTATGGTACTAGTCCATAAATACCGGATATTTTAACTCGGGCTGTATGTTATCCCAAAATGACAAACTTCGACGAAACTTTAACATAAGAAAACATGGGGTGTAACATCATTCCTCCATTTGGAACATTCGTCCTCGAATGTTGACTGATGCACTTATCATTTTCATAACCCATAGCTATTGCAAATATTTTAATATTCTTCTTTCCATTTAGGTAACTGTTCTTTAAATAAATCCACAGGCCAGGGCATTCCCCTCTTTAAGCCTCTTTCTTACACCACGACTTGTAGTCGGAATCTTTCTAATCTCGTAACTGTTGCTACCTTCTATCATGCAGCCTGTACGATTCTAATTTTGTATGTACGCCTATGCGACGCTTCTCTCCTCTTTCTTCCAGCTCTTAGCCAATCGCTAGGCCTCACTTTGTGAACATATACAAAATTATGTCAAGTTGTCCCTCTAGGCGTCATTAGCTTTACTATATCTAAGTAGGCCATACTATACCATAACTCTTACTTCGATTTATTGTTACTGAGGTATGCGATCAAACTCCAGGTTACTCTCTCGCTACTTATCACGTATGTATAAATCTAAGTCATTTAATACTTCCTCGCTACCGTTTATCTTAAGAATGCAACCTGATCTCATCTCATATTATTGAACTTAAGATCTATCATCTACCACTGATAACTTGACCTCTTATGTAACACGCCGCTAGGGCTCACGACTCATCGGGGACATCTGGAGTAATTAGATTGATCCACCTAGGGGTGATGCTATACTTCCATAACCGTATTTTATAGCATCCCAATGTGACTCATCTTACATGGGTATTCCCGTACAATTCATGAAATCCTCTTCAAGTCATTACTCAATCGAAGGCCCAAACGTCATTCTTTATCAATCACAATTACACCCTCATTCTACTACTAGCGAAGCATTCCATCTCTTCTAAATGCTACTAGTCTTAGACTCCTTTGAGTTCATTCACGCTATACTGAGCTTTCTATGACTTAGAGAAACCATCAGCTCTCTTATTTTTCATGGGCTTAATCCCGAGGATTTATCCGTTCTGGTCACCTTCTCACTCGCCTTTTCTTATCCTTACTCCTGTCTTCCTAAAACCTTGTCACTCTACCGTACGTTAGCTTGCGACCTACTCATATATATTTAAACTACTCGTAACCTTGAGAAATTTTAAGATAGAAGTTGGGATAGTAAAGGTACCATATGAGGTTTACAGAGATAAAAGAGAGTGCCACTGGGAAGACAATCAAAATATCAGCTCAGAAGCAACCTTACGAGCCCAAGGTCATGAAGGTAAGTAAGTAAGGATAATTACAAGTAAGAAAGAACATCAAAAATTTCGCCGGACAAACGATGTAATAAGCTCGCAGCCTTGCAAGAATCAGAGGGTCCTCCCTAAGTACTACAATGAAAGACTAGCTCAGGAAATAAGGAAGAAAGTTTCAACCTAAGCACATTGACCTAAAGAGGAAATGGTCATATAACAACAGTCTCACAACAACATTGTATGCACTCCATAAGAAGGTGGCACCTACCATGATTAATGAACGAGGAGTAAAATAAGAAGTGATATTCAAGATCATATGAATTTTATGGAATTCCAATATATGTGGGCACTAAGATAAGCTAAGTATGGACACAACAAGGGGTAGAAAGATCAGGAAAAGTAATAGCTTACGTTAAAAGAATGCTAAGATGGAACGAAAGGAATTATTCGATTAGTGATCCAGAGTTGGTTACGTTATGAATGCACTTAAGAGTTCGGAGTATTATCCACACAGCATATATATTGACAAAAGCGGAAGATAGCTTAAGCCTACATAAAGGTTGATTAGAGGAAAGAAGAAACTAAAGAGTTACATCAACCATGTAAATCAGGAGTCTGGTTATTGGACCCAGGAAATTATAAAAATCGTAATTAAGTTATAGAGATAGTACAACAGCCACATTATATAACGTCTCTACGATAAAGCCAGCTAGAAGGGTACCAGCCTCATAAGAAGTCAGCATAAAGCTCTCACCGAATCATCTAAATAGGTGCAAGTATTATAATAGAAGTTGATACCACTTCTGTCACGCCCCGAACCTGGGGGCGAGACCGGCACCCGGTGACTCACCTATCCTTGCGTACAAACTTGCGACTAAGGGACTCTGAACATATAATGTCATACTTTGGCCATGGGCTACATTGCAAGACAATTGCGAATGCTGACTAAACATTAATATAAAGCTGGGCCGACAAGGCCGCCATAACTACTACGGCTGGCAAACCAATTAAATATACATAAAAGGCTTACAAGCCCAACATACTGTACTAACTGACATGATATGTCTACAAGCCTCTACTGATGGATATACTGTGATCGGAACAGGGCCCCGACCTACTCATAACATATATACATATATATACAAGATGTACATAAAGCTCTAGACCCGGCAACTCCGAAGGGCATGGAGCTTACCGATCAAGCTGAACTCGGGCAACACCTAATGGGGAGGTCTACCCGTCTGTCTGTCTGAACTTGCATGCATGAAATGCAGCGCCCCCAGAAAAGGGACGTCAGTACGAAATAATGTATCGAGTATGTAAGGCAATATACTGAAAGCTAAAACTGAACTGATAATATAATAACTGAAAGTAAATAGAAGTCAAAGATAATCTGAAGATATGTNGTATCTCGGCCAATTGGGCTCGCTCATAGGCGCTCGGCCACAGTAAGCTCGGTATATAACTTACCATCTGATCAGAGGTTGCCCAATAGAGGTCTTTCCATCAATTATAGCTCGATGGTAATGAAAATACTGTAATACTATATAAATAGATTCTCTGCTCTCATGACTGGAAAAAAGAAAATACTCAATTGGATATGAAATCCCGATAAGGAGAATATTGTAACTTACATGACTAGAAAAATATACGTAAATTCCGGGATATGAATTTTTCTTTATGCCTCGTTATCAAACTCGTGTAATTACGAGATCATGCCAAAATGAAGAAAGAGCTTAGTCTTAACATACCCGGAGTAGGGAAAAATCCGTATGATATTCTTGAAAAAGGTTGCACCATACTCCTTTAGAATCACAAAATCTCACGTTGCTAAAGTGCTAAGAAATCTCGTTGGAATGTTTTGTGTGTTTCAAGAAGTCTTGTTGAGATTTTGTTGGGTTGAAGCTATATCCATTTTGAAATTACTTTTCTATTATATAGAAAGAGCAAAGATGGTCGACACGGGCATCATTGCAAATCTATCTTTATTTAAGGGCAAAATAGTAACTACGTCACAACAATTAAAATGGGACTCTAGAAGGATCCCTTTTTCTTTCTCTGCTCTAAAACACAAAGAGCACCAGCGGCTCTTTGCTTCATCTTCTCATCCAGGTAAGCTTTCCTTTTAAAATTTGATGAAGTTTCTCTTTGTTGTCTTCGATCTTTTCAATTTTTGGTCTACCCACATTATATTTGTGTTATTTTGCCCTTTTTTTTGTAGAACTCCAGTCTTTTTTGCTTCATTGTTGTTTCTTTAACAGTCTTTTTTGCTTTTTTAATTTTATTAGGTCGTCCTCTCTGTATTTCCAACAACAGCTTCTTATTTCTCTCCCTCTCCCTCTCCCTCTCCCTCTCCCTCTCGTGTAATTCTTGAGGCTAGTATATACATTCTTTTTGTTTTTTGTGTTGCTTTCAAATATGTAAAGAAGATTTTCGTTTTCTCATAAATAAGAATTCTGTAATTGAACTATGATCAGATTTTAAAGAAGTGTAGCTATACTGCAACAACAATTAATTTTTCTTTTCATATTACTATATATAATTTGCTATTAACTGGTATGATAGTTTTTTTGGTCCGGCGCTAGAGAAAATATGCTTCTGCTCTCTCTTTAATTTTGTTTATAGGAGATTGTCTTTACTAAAAACTTAATCTTGATATAATACTCCAATCAAAAGTTATAGTATATTAGCATAATGAAAAATAGCAGAAAGTGACAGCACTCTGAAAATCGACCAAACCTAAAAGTACAGACTTAAAGCCAATGCGGAACTAATAGTTAAATTTACGAGTTACTTTAAGAATTGGGATTTTGGTAAAACTTTGAGTTCAATCCATCCTATGCAAAAAAAGTCGAATTGAAAATCCGTCTATATACTTTGAAGAATAATCTTGATGGTTTAGAACTTCCTTCTAAATCAAGGAAATAAAGTCATATCCAACGGTCTGTGCACAAACTAAAGGACTAAGCGCATGAGAACTTCAAGGTTTGAGGATTTCATGTTGAACTGTTCGAATGGGTCTTCAATCTGTATGCATATTTCAAAATGGGGTATAAATGTAGCTATATTGAAGTTACTCATTTGTCAACAACGATTAATGTTGCTATAACTACAAAAATTTCATTTTCTTTTTTACCATATATTTGGTTCTAGAAGCAACAAACAAGCGTCGGCATTCCTTTGTACACCTATCTTCTTTCTCCTCCCCCCCCCCCCCTCCAAACTTTAGTATTTATCATACTTCAGATCTTTAGTTACTACTTTTTAAGATTTGTTTTTTGAATTTAACAGTGGTTCATTTTGAATAGAATGAAGTCGCAAGCTATGATAGTTTATACGATCCGATGTTTTGGCCAAATTATAAATATTTGATGGTTTGCATGACAGAATTGGACGCTTTTTACCAAAATGTGAGAGATTATATCTTCATTAATCTTTTTAGTATTAATTATTCTTCATTTCTTATTTGAAATTGAGGAGTAGTTCTTGTTATCATAATCTTTTATGATATATAAAAATATATCGATGGTAATCCTTAATTTAATAATTTTGAGAAATAATGGAATCTTTCTTTCAATTTCCCACTAAGAAGCTAGATGGTCTTTAATACCTTGATGAAAAAAATAAAGTTCGAAGCTTTACAAGGTTTATCAACTACTCATACATACCATTCTTATTTTTGTATAAGATGACTTCTCAGTGATCTATATCTACTCAGCAAATTTCAAATATTTACAGATTTGGAGAACCTATTAGGGCTTTCATGAGCCATGAACCAACTTCGGTGGAAGAGGCTTCTTCAAGGACAGAACTAAAACTATAGAGTTAGTATCGGTATGGTGCAGTGCTTCTTATAACTGATAAGGCGTTATTGACTAAACACATAGGTTTCTTCTTTATTAATTTTCACATGTGCTTAGATACCAAGTCACAAAAGTTATAAGCAACAACTTGCTCCTCTGCTTTAGCCACTTTCTTAATATCAACAAGTAGACACACTTAAGCAGCATTAGCCTCAGTTTCCATTTAAACATAAAGCTCGCCATATTACCATTCATAATTTTCATTTAAATCATACATGGATCTTTTACAAGTTAGTTTTTGAAGCTTCCGTAATAAGCCTCCTACACCATTAGATGTCATATACCAAATTCCACAGCATGACTTAAGGTGCTTGATTTGTAATTCTTAGCTATCTATTTGGTTATTTTTGCTTTTATCACTTGTTCATTTATGTATATTAACTAATAAATCAAGTACCATATTCTTTCTAGGACATGTATCTCTTGAAATATATGCTCCTGAAGTCAAGCGTTCAGAAGAAGTCAAGCATTCTTTTTGAACATTTCTATGCTCGAGATCATCTTTAACATACTGATTTTTTAATTCCAATGAAACCTGAAGGTTTTGCCAGGTAATATGAAAGTGGAATGCCTAAAAAGTACTCTTCGTGTTACATTAGAGATTTGGTGTTACAGTACATAAAGTAACAAATTGTGCCCAAATGTTTATCTGGTTATAGCTCATAAACTATTGGTTTTGGAATCTGGTTGTTCCTGTATTGCTATTATTTTAACTTATGACTGGAATACAGGTTCATTCTAGGAACATCATTGTTGGTGTTATTATCTTTTGATGCCGTGAAATAAGATTTCCAAGTAGCAACATATTGAATTAGCATATGCTACCTTTTTCTGTTCTTTCTTGTTGCGCTTCACCTAAAGGTTGATATAATATACTTGGAATTTACTTTAAGTTTGTATTTTATTTAAATATTTGTGTGAAAGTATAAGTGGTGGATTGATATACCATATTAGCATATTTGGTAGACTATTTGGTTAGGTCATAACTGTTCTACTTTTACTTCAGTACATGAAATGCACAAGGATTATATGTTTCATGTATATTTATATAAATACACTCACATATATGCAATCTTTTAACATATATGAAGTGTGTCTTATAAACATGCTTCTATGATGATTGCTTTCGAGTTCTATTTTTCTTTGTTTGCAGATTAAAACTAGCGAGCGGAACTCAGAACAAAATTTACTTACCATGGTTGCAGAAGACTTAAAGCTCCTCTCCTCCTCTATCAGTTCAAATGGTAATGGCTATTGACTATTATATTGGTACCTCTTTTTGTTCAATCTCTCAGCATAATATTTTCTATATATTTATGTTTATTAGTAAGATGGTACGACCTAAATAAGTCTAAGTAATTCCTTGAAACAGTAGTGTTGGTTGTGCTTATTTTGTGTTTATTTTATTTATTTTATTTTATTAGGTTGTAGTCATGCACATGCTTCAATTGATAACAATATGCCAGTGGAAAGTGTTACTTTATGCTATATGTGTCTTTTGTTTTTTATACAAACTATTATTTAATTGTTATGCTTGATTTAAGCAAATTATTCCAATCACAACCTTGATTTGTTCTGAATTGTGCATGCTCTATATCTTGGCAGTCACAAAAATCTATTTTATTCAAGGGGGTATATTTTATTTCTAAGATGCCCTTTTACTGATGGATGATTGGTGCATTTCTTCTTTGTCAGTATTTCTTAAGGTAATGTACTTTAAATTAAAATGTTGATGAAGAAGTTACTTACTTTTACAGGAGGCTTCTGGTATTCTTGTCATACCGCATATTCATAGACTTCCTGAAGTTACGACATTCTTATTCTACTCAACCAGTTCAAGCAAGTAAAGATGCTTATTAAGACCAAGTAACTATCAAAGCATATAATTTGGACAAAGATGTATGAAGGACTTGCATCATCGATTTATCTGGTATTATCTATGGTAACTTAGTCATGCAGTTATAGTAGCTTCCTCCTAGCAGAAGATATTTCAAAAATCAAGTCATGAACAAATAGTGACTTTGATCTATCATTTTGTATGGTTTACCTTCGTGAATTTAATTTCATTAGGGAGTGAGATTCATTATTTCTGAATCCACAGATTTTGAATATGCATGCTCTGTATAGTAGGTGATCTTTAATATTTGTCACTATTTACTAAGAATGGAACTGTACTTCTGTATTAGTGAAAGTATAGTTGTTCTAGAGTATGTATTCCTATTTTGGGATCAAATCGTAAGTGCAACTAAAGATTAGACATAAATTCTCTGAGCTGTATCAAAATTTGAAATATTAGGCCCGTGCTATGCACAGACAAACCTCATCTAGTACTATTTATAAGTGAGAGTTGGAATGGACGAACACATAGGAACACCTGTACGGCACTGTTCTGTATCACTGTGTACTGTTTTCCTCTTGATAAAACACGGTACTTTATTTTACCATCTAAAAATATATACTGAACCCCTTTCCCTCTCTCACCAGCAATTTTACTATGGTGTTGTGCATGGATTTCAGTAGTTTTAAATCATATTCTTTATAGTCTTTTGCCTATATTTTATTCCTCTTGTTGCGATATAACTTAGTGAGTAAGTAAAAGTTTGATTTTATTTGTCGTGGAGATTACTGATTGAAGCTAACGTCCCTTTTGAAATGTTTGTAATAGGGAGAAGATTATAAGATTGCCTTTGATTATTTTAAGGCCAAATAAAGAAAAATATAAATTTTCTAAATAGGTGATTACACGTAATAGTCACTTGTGTTAATCATCTTAGCTTGCCACCTTTCAATTTGACTTATGAGTCATTTAGGTTGAAGGGTGGGCTGCAACATAGTCAAATTTTAATCCTAATCCGATAATTCCCCAATTAATTAGGTAATATCCCACTACCCAACAATTAACTAATTGCCCACATAATTAAAAATTATCTCAACTTACTTAAAATACTACTCAATTTTAACACACCTTATACACCTTACTATCATGGTCATGTGGTACCTTGTATGGTACTAGTCCATAAGTACTAGGTATTTTAACTCGGGCCGTACTTTATCCCAAAATGACAAACTTCGACAAAACTTTAACGTACGAAAACATGGGGGTGTAACAACATGACAAGAAGCAAGAACCATTTCCTTTCACTTGAAGACCTTAAATGAGGTAATGTCTCCTTTGGAAATGGAGAGAAAGGTGAGATCATTAGGGTTGGAATAGTAGGTAAGACTGATTCTCACTCTATTGAGAATGTCTACTTGATAGATGGACAGAAGTACAGTCTAATAAGTGTATCATAATTGTGTGATAGAGGTAACATGGTAGCATTCACCTTTACAAAATGCTTTGTGATTAATCTTACCACTGACAAGATAGTTCTGCAGGGATAAGGAGTGAACAATATATATGTTGTGGATCTGTCCACACTTTCAGATAATGAAATCACTTGCTTAAGTGTGTTAGATAACGATCCCCTCCTTAGTCCTTTGGCACAAGAGACTTGGACACGCCAATCTAAGTCAACTCAATAAACTAGTCTCCAAGGACTTGGTGATAGGGTTGCCTAACATTAAGTTCAAGGAAGATAAAGTTTGTGATGCTTGTGTAAGGAGGAAGCAGGGAAGATCCTCTTTCAAAAGCAAGAAAATGGTAAGCACCACCAAGACGATGGAACTGGTCTATATGGATCTTTGTGGACCAATGAGAACACTAAGTAGAGGTGGTAAGAGATATGTTATGGTGCTTGTTTATGATTATTCTAGGTTCACTTGGACACTATTTTTAACATCTAAAGATGAAGCATTTGACATGTTCACTTCATTTGTTAGAAAAACTCAGAAATAACTAGGTAATCAACTTGCATCAATTAGGTCTGATCATGGTACTGAATTTGAGAATGCTAAATTTGCTGAATTTTGTGATGAGCATGGCATAAATCATAATTCTTCTGCTCCTAAGACTCCGCAATAAAATGGAGTAGTTAAAGGAAAGAAGAGGACATTAGAAGAAATGGCTAGGACTATGCTTTTTTCTACTAAACTGCCCTATAGTTTCTGGGCAGAAGCTGTGAACACTGCATTCTATATCATAAATAGGTACATGACTAGATCTCTTGTTGAGAAGACTCCATATGAGTTACTTAAGGGGAGAAAGCCAAATATATCCCATCTTAGGGCATTTGGATGCAAGTGCTTTGTGCACAATAATTGCAAAGACTCCCTTGGTAAGTTTGATCCCAGAAGTGATGAGGGAGTATTCTTGGGATATTCTTCACAAAGTAAAGCTTATAAGATTTATAACAAAAGAACTATGTGTGTAGAAGAAAGTGTACATGTGGTTTTTGATGAAACTAACATTCTTTGTGAGAGGCAGGAATATGATTATAAAGCAATTGGGCAGGTAAGAAAACTCAAATGAAACCACAGCTCAGACTAAAGTTGCACCAGAGGAAGGAACAAGTGATGGAACAGGTCCTTCCACCCAGGGCAACTTGACAGGAGGAATTGAACAAAGAGGAACTGATCCTCAAACCTCGAGGGAACCTCTCCATGAACCTGTTCCAAAGCAACAAAAAATTTAAGGAACATTTAAGGGAAACCGGTTGGTTGTGAAACCTTACAAGTATCAAAGTTCTCATCCCATTGAGAACATAATTACTGATCCAACATCTGGAATCAAAACCATATCTTCTTTGAAGAATCTTTGTGCTTTTGATATTTTTTTATCTCTTATTAAACCTAAAAATGTTGCCAAGGCTTTGCAGGATACAAACTGGGTGAATGCAATGCAAGATAAACTCAACCAATTTGAGAGAAGTCAAGTTTGGTATCTGGTACTAAGACCCAAGGACATATCAGTAATTGGCACAAAATAGGTCTTCAGAAACAAACGTAACGAAGATGGAACGGTTACAAGGAACATGGAAAGATTAGTGGTTCAAGAATATAGTCAAAAGGAGGGCATGGACTATTATGAGACCTTTGCTCCAGTTGCAAGATTAGAAGCAATTAGACTCCTTATAGACTTTGCTGCTTATATGGAATTAACTCTCTATCATATGGATGTCAAGAGTGCCTTCCTCAATGGCTATCTAAAGGAAGAAGTATTTGTCAAGCAACCTCCAGGCTTTAAAAGCAAGGAATGTCCTGATCATGTGTACAAGCTTAACAATGCATTTTATGGGCTCAAGTAGGCTCCAAGAGCATGGTATGAAAGACTATCAAAATTCTTGCTTGAGCATGGCTACAAGAGAGGTAAAATTGACAATACTTTATTCTTGAACGAAAAAGGTAAAGATCTCTTGGCAGTTCATATATATATTAATGATATAATCTTTGGAGCAACTACTGATAAGTTAAGTAAAGAATTTGCTAAACTAATGGGGAGTGAATTTGAAATGAGTATGATGAGTGAGCTTAATTTCTTTTTAGGCTTAGAAATTAAATAAAATTCAAATGGAACTATGATCCATCACCAGAAGTATGCGAAAGAGTTGCTTAAAAGGTTTAGAATGGAAGATTCCTAAGAAATTGATACTCATATAGCAACAACCACAAAATTAGATGTAGATGAACCTGGTTCATCTGTTGATCAGAAGTTGTATAGAGGAATGATTGGCTCTTTGCTCTATCTCACTGCTAGTAGACTTGACATTGTTTTCAGTGTAGGCTTTTGTGCTAGATTTCAGGCAAATCCAAAGGAGTCTCACTTGACTGTTGTCAAGAGGATCTTGAGATACTTAAAAGGCACCACTAACATTTGTCTATGGTATCCAAAAGGTAGTAATTCCAACTTAGTGGGATATATTGATGTTGATTATGCAGGTTTTCTTATGGATAGAAGAGCACCTCAAGTATGGCACACTTTCTTAGCTCATGTCTTGTGTCTTGGCCAACAAAAAGCAAAATTATGTGGCCTTGTCTACTGTTGAAGCTGAGTATGTTGTCGCTGCCTCATTTTGTGCTCAATTGTTGTGGATCAAACAGTAATTAATGACTTTTGGAATTGATGTAGGTTGTATCCCTATCTTTTGTGATAGCACTAGTGCAATTAGTATGACCAATAACCTGGTTCATCACAAAAAAACTAAGCACATAGATGTTAGGCATCACTTTCTAAAGGACAACTATGAAAAGGGTTTGATCATTGTGGAATTTTGTGCTACTGACAAGCAAATCGCGGGCATTTTCATAAAAGATCTAAGTAAAGATCACTTTGAAAGGAACTGATTAGAATTAGGGATGATTTAGATCACCTAAAAGGAACCAGTTCTAACTCAAAAATTGATTAGAAAATCTATGAATTTTGTACATAATTAGATTAGATTTTGCTCAATCTCATACTTTCATCAGTATACTCTTGTGCCATATGCTAAAATGTCTCATTAATCTTTAATGATATTATCTTTATTTTCTTAGAAAATTCAAACTTACACAAGAGATCTCTCAATGAAGAACCTGGTTCATTAAGATTACATGATACGTACTCTCCACTCTGCATATTTTGGAATAATTATATTTGGATCATGATCAAAAGGAGAGTCCCATTTAATCCTAACTTCCTTGAGCTTATCTGTTACGAAATGAACCAGTTTCATCCAAATAGAGTCGCAAAATGCAATAAGTGCCTAGATTCTAGGGAGAGTCTCCAACGTCTCTTCAAACTGTCTCCCAGTTTGATTAGACTCCTGAGCTTCTGAAAAAGCTGTTATTACCAATCAAATTATCCCTCCTTTAAATTGATTTGGCCTTACCCATTATTCGTTCTAACCTTTCCTGCCGCCAAAAATTTATTTCAATCTTCTCTCATCTTTTCTAAACACTCATCCAAATACAGCAATGGCAAACCCTTATGAGAATCCCTCATC